CTTTTCAACTCCTCTGTGGCTGCTTGTAACACCCTTGTCAGGGCTCTTTTCTCTTCCCCTGCCATGATAAAGTCAGGGTCAAGTATTTTTACTCTCTTTTCTCATGAAAATTTAAAAATGAGGCACAGCTTCCTTTGCTCCCTGTCTGTAACATCACAGAATCGTAGGGTTTGGAAGGAACCTCGAAAGATCATCTAGTCCAACCCCCCTGCCAAGCAGGATCACCCAGAGCACATCACACAGGGATGCGTCCAGGTGGGTTTGGAATGTCTCCAGTGAAGGAGACTCCACAACCTCTCTGGGCAGCCTGTCCCAGGGCTCTGTCACTCTCACAGGAAAGAAGTTTTTTCTGATGGCTTATCTTTTCGTTTTTCTCTCTTTTCTGGTATTGCAATTGATCTGCTTGTATTTTTTTTTCCTTTCTTCCCCCTTTATTTCAACTGTAATAGACACTCCAACTTCTTCAGTAGCTTTGGAGTCCTTGTGGAGGCGTTTTTCTTGAATGCCTCTGACAGTCTCATTGAACTGCAACAGTGACTGAGTCCCCTGCAGAATCCAAGTATTGATGTGCTGTATTTGGTGAGAATGAATGCGGCTTTTAGAGTCCTAGCAGCTCTCTTCCACTCTGGGGTTGGTGTTTTGAGGGGTCACCTTTCTGATTCTGCTGCTTCCAAATAGTTTTCAAAGTGATGTGTGTACATTGGGTGTGCTGGATACAGGGAACTGGTGTGTAGTGATTATATTCATGGGACCACATTGCATCCTCTAATCAAGCTCGGGGTTTCTTCTTTAATTCAGATGTTTTCTGAGTCAACATGCTTTGTTACTCTGAGATTAAAATAAACAGCAGAGAAAGATATTTTTGTGTTCAGTTTCTCTGGGAGTGAACAGAATCATTTGTCTGTATGCAGTGACATTTTTCTGATGCATACGAATCACCAATGTTCAGGAGGCTGAGAATCCATTGTTTGTGTTGATGATGTGTTGGTGAAACCATACATGTTGTATTGCAGAGATAAATAATTGTAAAAGTGTTTGTAAATACACATACATTGACTCAGAGTATCACTTATCAGTTAAAGAAAAACAACCAACTTGGTAACAGACAACATGAATTTATAGCAGCACTACATGCTTATAGTATGACAGACAGAACACAAGACACATGTAAAGGCAGAGGAAGTTGGGGAAAACTGTACACAAAGACACCGGAGCTACTGAAAAGGAGTCTGTCAAACAAATCTATTAGTTTTCATTCTTTTTGCCCTGAACTTAAACATAAAACCTGGTGTATGTGTAGTATGCACATGGTGTTTCCTTTTGTCAGAACGGTAGCATCCATCTCTCTAACCATGTTATTGATCCTACAGAGTATCAGTTTTCTTAGAGAAAATAATTTAAATGCCATGCAGACACTTCAAGGCATTTTTTTCATGCACTCTGATCTCACTGGTTTTTGTAGTTTGCTATGAGAAACAACACAAAGCACTTGCATTCCACTCTGTCACAGTAGAAGTAGTACAATGTGAAATGTAGTAGAATATGAAAGTTTTAAATCTTTATGCAGTGTACAGTTAATGAAACAAAAATTTAAAAAAGAGGAGCAGTTTAACTTTAAAATATACTTTTTTATTCCCTTTCTACTTTTCCTAGAGCTGTGACTGAGAGTATAAACCAGCTCATCACTCTGTGCACCCAGCAAGCTCCTGGGCAGAAGGAATGTGATAATGCGCTCAGAGAACTGGAGGTATTAGTACATTTCAAAGTTTTTTATGAATAAAAATGGGCCCTAAATGTGTATTTTCCTTGTCTGGTTGGCTGCTGTCACTGTCTTCTCATTTGGTATCTATGGCAGAGTAACTGCATAATGTATCACAATAATGAGTAGCATGCTTCTCTGTGAGTAAACCCTTAGTGTGTAGTTTAGCTTGTTTGCTGGAGGAAAAGTTGTAAGGTTACGCTGGTATTAGGTGGATAGTTGTGATCATATGTGTTCTTCTCAGCTTAGTATTTCAAGCTCTGTCAATAACCAGAGTATATTCCCTGATTTCAGACAGTGAAGGGAATGCTGGATAACCCCAATGAACCTGTGAGTGATCTCTCATATTTTGATTGTATTGAAGGTGTGATGGAAAACTCAAAGGTAATTTCCTTTTTCCACCTCTCTGCCTATTGAAAAGTGTGTGTTCATTATCAGAACTTTCCAAGCATGTTAGAAACACATGTAGCTAAAATGAATGCTGCATTCCTTGATAAAACTTGGCCTGAGATAGGTTTCTTACAGGTAATTTCAGTCTTTGATCACTTAGAAATCATATTGCCTCAGGAAGATATTTTTTGTCAAGTGACTGGTGTGCAATGCCATTAAAGTTTCCCTCTCTCTCCCTTCCTTTCCTCTTTATTAGACAGCATGTTATACTTGCATGATCTGTTTTGACTGCAGCTATGTTAGAAAGGCCCAAAGTGTAAATTGGAGGCTTTGCAATGGATTCTATTGTTCTGTGCAAAACAGCTTAGAGGAATGTCTGCACAGTCCAGATATTCTGGCACATCAGAAAATCTGTGTGAAATCTCAAAAGTTATTTTTAAACATACCATGCTATGTATCTCCTTTGAAGCTTTGCTTTTGATGTCCTTGTTATTTGATGTGTTTGAATTGTGTCAGATCTTTCCATCTTTAAAAGAATAAAAAAATGCTTAATGGGTGTGCATGTCATCTTGCATCTAATGCTCTGCTGCAGTCAGATCTTACTTTGAATTTTAAAAATAAACTGAATTCAGTGGGAGACTGTGAGAATTAATGTGTATTCTGATATTCAGATGGTTCCAGCAGACTAGATGCAACTCCTTTTCCACAGTTGGTGAGTTTGGGGGCAAAGAAGATGCCAGATGTATTAACAGCAGCTGTGGCATTGGCTGTCATGTTCTGCAGTCTAGCTGTGATGACTAGAGGATGACAGCAGAAATAATGAGGGTTAATTCTGTATCCTCAGTCATTTGCACTGTAATAGTGTTTATGTTCTGCACTGTCAGTGCAATGGTGACCTGCACACCTTATCCCTTACACCACACAAAAGAATGTGCTCAATTCAGTGAAGTCATTAACTAGCTAAAATTTTTGGTAGCCAAGTCAAGGAGGTTTGTGGGTCAGAACTGGCTCAAGGCCAGGAACCACTTGCCTTTGATTAGTAGAGTAGCATATTGGGAAGGTAACTTTGTTTTTTAATTTTTTAGGTTCTTGGAGAATCAATGGCTGGTATTTCCCAGAATGCAAAAACTGGGGATCTTTTAGTCTTTGGAGAATGTGTTGGAGTTGCATCCAAGGCTCTTTGTGGCCTCACAGAGGCAGCAGCTCAGGTAAGCTCCTAAAGTCTGAAAAGCAAGTACATGTATTTTATTATTTTAGAAAGCCCATGTTGTGGCTGCATAAATCTGATATTCACATCTTTGTGGTCAAACAAATGACCTGACAGAGTTCACTAACATGCATATTTTACAAGGAAGGGAAATGACATCAAGACAACTTTTCTGAGGGTAAAGCAAATGTCAAAGCTGCAGCATGTGGAATTCATGCTTGCAGCTCAGGCTCTGAACTGCTCTGTCATGGAGAAGCACACAGAATCCAGTGACAGTTATAAGGAATGAATCCAGTTTGAATTAGTTTGTAAAAATTTATAAGGAGCACTACTAATTTCAGACATTTAAAATAATAAGCAACCTGTTTCACTTGTTCAGACTTTCAGAATAACCAAAATTCTTAGGCTACTGGAACACATTAGAGTGTGAAACTGATCACTGTTGTTTCACTTACCTGATACCTGGGTGACATGAACTCTGGAGAGCTGATACAGCCCCTTCAGTGAAGGATTTGGCTGTGTGAAATTATGTGCTGCATCTGGAAACTGCTGCTTGGTTTCCTCAAATAGGGAATTTCTCAGTGAGGGCTTAATCTTCTAACCCTGCATTGCCTTACTGGCATGTCAAGGTGACAGATTATTGTATCTGTAAGGGAAGTTTATCAAGAAATATTCAAATACAGTTTTGCCAGATGAGATAATTCTTCTTTGTTGGGAGGCATGAAACTTCTTTTAATTGAGAAAGAGAGTGAATTTGGCCATGGGATATTCTGAGCTGCAGTGAGACCAGCAACTGCAGACTGAGGGGTCCTACAGTCAGCAGCAGTGCATTTGCTGTCAGTTGGTTTTCTACTGGGGTTTGAAAACCCTCACCACCTCCTATGGTAGCTTATCCAGTAAATAATTTGATGCTTGTGACCATTAAAGCTTTTTCTATTGGCTATGCAAGTGAAGAATTATCTTTCCAGGGATACCAGCTGCTTAAGCAGTGGACAGTCTTCTTAAACAGTGGCAAGATATCTTGATTTCAGAGGATTGTGGAGATTTATTACTAAAAAATAAAATTGTAGTAATACCTCAGTATGACTTATGAACCATCTCTGACCACCATGTGTTTAATGACATACTGCAAGCTTATTAAAGAATCAGGATGGATTTAGCCTTGTTTCTTAGGATTGTTTTCTTCCTTTCTCCATGTCTAGGCTGCATACCTGGTTGGCATCTCGGATCCAAACAGTCAGGCTGGTCAGCAGGGTCTTGTTGACCCAATTCAATTTGCCAGAGCCAATCAAGCAATCCAGATGGCTTGCCAGAATTTGGTAGATCCAGCAAGCAGCCCATCACAGGTGATTCCAGAGGATTGCAGTGAGACCATCATTGTTAGGACACGTGACTACACTTTACTTGTGACCAAGCAAAGGCATTTTGGTTTGAAACTGTTGGCATAGCTTAGAACTGTGACTTTGCAGAGCTAGGTTATGGTAAATGTCATGCTCCTTTGACAGTGTGCTTGTTTTGTGCCATCTGTGTTTACAGGTATTATCAGCTGCCACAATTGTGGCCAAACATACTTCTGCTTTGTGCAATGCCTGTCGCATTGCTTCATCAAAGACAGCGAACCCTGTTGCCAAGAGACACTTTGTGCAGTCTGCCAAGGAAGTTGCAAATAGCACTGCTAACCTGGTTAAAACTATCAAGGTACAAATGCTGTTTAGTTCTGCTCCTTTCTTCATTTGTGTTTGTATTTGTGGGTTTTTTCTTGTTGAGACAGAACCCAAACAGCCAGAAATATTTTTCTACCTTCTGTTGATGCATATTGTTTAAGAAATCATTAATTACTCTGTTTAAAACCTGAACTGGAAAACACATTTGATGGTGTCACTGAGCTGAAGTTCAGATGGGAAGAGCTGGGTAGTGTCAGTATTAGGAGAGGCAGCTGGGCCATCTAGTTTTGAGCCATCTCTCTGTTGATATACTTCATGAGCTTGCACCCTGAGAATAATTTGCAGACAGCTGAATGTGAAGGTTTTTAATGATGTTACACTGCTCAATATGCAGAGATTTGTGGAAGTATTTTTGACAGCTTTACCATAATTACAAGCGAAAAATAAAATAATAGTACTGGGAACCAAGCAGAAGCTGTTGATGGTGCTGCTGTTGAATAGTCTCCTGTTAAGAGCTATATTTTATTTCCCAGTTACCTGCCTACAGTTTGGCAGGAAGTGGCTTCTCCTTGTGCAGGCAGAAATAACACTTGTTAAGTGGTAGAGGACAATTCTAAACCCTTCTGGTAGCCATTAGCTGCTACTGAAAGTCTCTTAAAATAGTTATGCTCTTAGAACTGCAAGGTTCTATTACATTACACAGAAGGTCCTTCATATTGAAATATTTCCCATGAGATTAGGAAAGACATTGGTTGACTCATGTGAAAATGAGAGCAATAAATTGATTTGCTTAAAAAATATAATAATTTAAATCAATCTGTATGAAGGAATCACCTTGTTATCCACTTCCACTGTTTGGAGTGTGAGGTGCTGAGACACAATGTGTAAGAGTCATCAGAGTGCAACAACAGAAAGTCTTTATTTAGTCTGAAGCAAAGCAGCAGTTTTACGTTTAGGGTGCATAACCAGCCAAGTAAAGAAAGACACGTTTGAAGGACCATATTCTTTGCATCAGCTGTGTTTGTGAAGGAACTTTCACCTGTCATAAGCATGCAAGAGTTTCAAAAGTTAAAGAATTAAACCATCTTCCTTCAGTTTTGCAAAGAAATACATTAGGACAGAACGCAATTGTTATTTAATTTTCAGGCCCTCGATGGTGACTTCTCTGAAGAGAATCGCAACAAGTGCAGAATTGCTACTGCACCTTTGATAGAGGCTGTGGAAAATCTGACAGCATTTGCTTCAAATCCAGAGTTTGTCAGCATCCCAGCACAGATCAGCACTGAGGTAAGGCAGGGCGTTGCACTTCTGCCCTTAAAAAGTTGAAAATGTTGAATTAATCATGTCAGGAGAGAGGCAGTGAGTGTCAAGACCTGGCCCCAGAATGTCTCAGTATTCCCAGGGCATTCTCCTGCCCTTCACTTAACTTCTGGCTTTGAGTAGGATAAAACTAGTTAGGCCAGAGTAAATGCTGCTAGTCTCCTGTTAGTAACATGATACAGTACGGGTGACTCACATATCTTGTTAGCTGGATTCTTCCATGTGATAAAGTAGCTCAGTAGTAGTAGTAGTAGTAGGTAGTAATAGCTGCTCTTGAGGGGAAAAGGGATTTAACAAATGGAACCTAATTGGTTCTGAAACAGGTTGAAGGAACGTTGATGCAGATTTTGCCTTCTAAAAATGATGCAGTCAGGGTGACAAGAAGCAGATTTTCTGGGAAGAATAACTTTCTGTGGGCTTCTACATTTTTTCCCCTGAGTTCTGTCTTCAACCCTTGTAACTACAACAGGGTATATTTAAATTAACTAATAAAGGCTTTTAGTGTTTTTGAGGGTTGGAGAGGGGAAATCAGTCAAGCTTCTTAAAAGCTTCAAAGTAGAGGTTCTGTGCAGTTACTGACTCTCCAACTGCTCCTTCCTGCTTTTGGCAGCCTCCCTTTCAGCTGGCGTTTCAGATGGTGTGGTAACTGTTGCAGTTTCAAAGCTGTGGGCTGTAACTGGAATCTGAGCCTGCCTTCCAGGCCTGTGGTGCCTGGATTTACCAGATTACTGGTGCTAAAACAGATAGGAAGATGCTGACCCAATTAGTGTTGTAGTCCAGCTAATTCCTGGAAGAAGAGCACACTTGGTTAGATTTTGCAAGTTCTTTGACCAAGTTTGTTTTTTATGATATCTCTGTGGTTTATGAGTAGAGAGGTGTAATTGTTTTCTTGTATTTCTCAACTGGATGGTGCCTTTCTAAACTTAGAAGTGTTTCTTAAGTATGTTCCAGAGAAAACAGTTGGACTGTGATGATTTCTGTGGTGGCTAGTCATGAATATAATAGCATGATACAAGAAATGATAATGCCATTTTAATGCTGTTAATGGAACAGATTTTTTGGAGCAGAAAGTGTGGATGAACTCAATTATTTAAATGTTCTTTGTGTTCTTCTGACCACAGGGATCACGAGCACAGGAACCAATCCTAGTTTCTGCTAAAACAATGCTGGAGAGCTCCTCTTTATTAATCAAAACTGCTCGTTCTCTGGCTATCAATCCAAAAGACCCTCCCACATGGTCTGTACTAGCAGGACATTCCCATACTGTCTCAGATTCTATCAAGAGTCTTATCACCTCTATCAGGTAAGTCTTCTGTAGTAATTTGTGTCCACATTTAAGCTGTAATAATTGAGTATCTGTTTGTGTTTGTTGTTTTTTTTTAAAGTGGGTCAGACATATATAAATTATCTTTGCTATCTCTTCTTTACTGTAGTGTTTTCAGTCTGGTTGCAAGAATGCTGTAGCAAGAAGTGAAAATTCTTTGTTTTTTGGACTAAACATGTCTGCCCCTTTCCTATTGAAAATTTAAAATGTAGTTCAGTATTTAACCTCTTAATATTGATTAAAGCCAAATGGCATGCAAACAGTGACCATATTTAGAGTTTTTTTGGTCTTTGTACTGAAATAGCAAACTGCATGTCAGGACAAGGCACTCAGGAACTGACCTTCGTTGAAAGAAACCTGGAACTTAATGTAATAATACACAAGGAACTCTTTTCTGAGACAGTTGATTGAGCTGCACAGGAATCTGAATATACTTTTCTGGTGTCTGTTACATTTTAATGCTGACCTTCATTATTGAGCCACTCTGTCCATCCCAAGGAGGTCGAATTTGCACTTTGCGTCTCAGGCAACATTTTTTTTTTCTGTCCATAATTATTAAGAGAGAGTTAGGAGATTTAAGTGAGATACTAAGAGAGACTCGTGTGTGCATTTAGGAAATTGTGCAGTGTACTCCTGTAGATAGAAAAGCAAAGCTAACTTTGTCCTTCTTGCTCTCCTCCCACATGCTTTTTGTTGTCAGGTAATGAAGTACATTTGTGTGCACTCATGAAAGAGCCTGCCTCCTCCCCACCATGCTGACTTCACTGCGTCTGTCTTTCAGGGACAAAGCCCCAGGCCAGAGAGAATGTGATTTCTCCATTGATGGGATCAACAGATGCATAAGAGACATTGAGCAGGCCTCCCTTGCAGCTGTCAGTCAGAGTCTGGCTACCAGGGATGACATCTCCATTGAGGTAAGGGAGATGGCACAGGAACAGAGTGATGCTGACTGAGCAGCCTGCCTTAACCTGCAGCTTTATTTTCATTCCATTTGAAGATTTGGAGCTGAGCACTCTGCACAATCGGCCAGTGAGGGGAGACATTCTTACTGTTTCTAGGCAAAATCACACGCTGGTCAAAGCGGATCCCTTCTGGACAGATACCAGGATCATCAGCCATTAGTAGGCAGTAGAAAGTCGTTATTTTTAACCACACCTATGTATTACCCTGACATACTGCACCTATTGATAGTGTTTCTCTAGTGCCTTGCCCTGTAGAAGTCAGGATGTTCCTGCAACCCATCTATTGCTAGAAGTTCAGTGATATAAATGTCAATGTAATTTTTCTTAATGCCTATCGAGTTAGTGTTGATATGTTCTCATTTAAAAAGTTTTCTTCCCTGCCTCCTCCCCTGCCCCCACAGTATTGTAGACCAGTCCTCTCCTATTTCAGCCTTTGTCTCACTGAGGAAGGGCTGTGGTGCCAGAGAGCCTACAAACAGTCAGCAACTCCTTATCAGATTCTCACCTTGGTATTTAGTGTCTTTTTCTACTGTCCCTTCCTGAAATTGTTTGTGTATTCCAGTGATTTCTTGGGCTCTAACTCTGAATATTAGAAACATCTCAGACTAAATAAAGCTATACATATGTCAGAGATACCCCTTCTATTTAAATTAAGTCATCTTGAACTCCATGTTGAACTGAAATAAACATTACTGAAAATGGCAGTTACTTATAAAGCAGTACAGAAATGCAACAGAGTGCAAAAATAGTATTCATTTTCTCTTACATTCCATGACAGTGAACTAAACCCCAGTGGCTGCCAAGACATTAAGTGCCTGTGAATTAAAAGCCAGTATTTATGTCTCGACAAGCTCAGTCATAAACTTTTCTTATGCTCTTGTCCCCCAGATAGTATTCTAGAGGTCAGTCCTCATCTCTGTCCCTCAGAGATGTCATAGTTTTCCTTTGTCTTTCCTTATCAGGGAATTTCTCCTACTAGCTTCAAAGTCTACAGCAGAGATTTTTGCTCTTGTGCTGTATTGTCTGCTTTGAAGAATGTTTCTTCAGATTTAAATCAGAGCTCCTGCTGGTGTCTCTGATTGCTCAGTGATACTAAATCTTGGTCAGGGCAAGAATAGTTGGGGTTTTTTGTCACATTCCAGTGAGAGAGGACAGATACTCCTGAGTTTGCTACCATCAGCTGGAGTAGCAGGAAGCCATCTTCCTCCCTCCCTCCTCAGCCTTGCCATGTAAGTCTAAAGAGGAGCAGGCCTATCTCAGGATTCCTGTTGTTGAAAAAAAGATGAAGGAGAAGAAATAAGCAAGTATGTGATGCCACCAGTGCAGATTTCTGCATTCTGCTGTAGTTACTTGAGCCATGTTCTGAGTGTGTCAGTTGATCTGAGGGTGATTGTTCTGGTCTGGTACAACTTGAGAAAAGAACAGCTGTGATAGTAACTGGCAATTTCGCTTTGTATTAGGCTCTACAAGAGCAGCTGACATCGGTTGTCCAGGAAATTGGCCACCTCATTGATCCCATAGCTACTGCAGCTCGGGGAGAAGCAGCTCAACTTGGACACAAGGTACAAGGTCTGACCACTATGAAGGTTTTTGACATCTTGGACAGCTCGACACTAGGGGAGACCATGGTATAGTAAGTTCTTAACTTCCTATGAAAAAGCAGAAGAAAGCGTGTGGAAGGAGGAAAGACCTGGGATTTTCAAATACTTGGAGCTGAGGCCAAATAAACCTGTTAAGATTTTGGGCCACGGGAAAGATATTTTCATTGAGGTTTTTGGTGGAGGGCAAGTATGTGAAGAAAAGACAAAGAAAGAAAAAGGAGAGGAAAGCAGACGTGGGAGGGTGGAGTGTAATGTTTTAGGTCTTCCTACCTGTGGCTGTTGCAGCCAGCACCTGTGCATGTGACTACATTCTTCTATCTCTTGTGCTATATTAAAGGTGACCCCAGGACCTGGGGCCCCTCACAGTCCCAGTTTGCTCAGTAGGTGACAGAGTGGTAGTTGGAATATGAATATATAGCAGAATTTGGGCAGCTGATGAAGTCAAAATTTGTAAGGAGCTTCTTGCAGAAATGTGCAGCTCCTGTGACAGATTTGAAACTGATTTAATCTGACCTCAAGTGACCATTAGCATCTGAGGAGTGGGAATTATCACGGAGTGTGAAGGTGAGGGCAGATGGAATCACCTGAGCACATCATACAAGCTGAATGCTGTACAGCACACAAGCACTAGGACAGTGTTCTACTTGAGCTAACCCACAGCCCCATGGCACCCAGGGAACATGGTTCCTCTCAGTTACAGGTGAAAAACAGGGTTAATGGCTTTCTGTGGTTGTTCTGGCTTTCTTAGGTAACACAGCTGGCAAGTTACTTCGAACCGTTGGTTTTAGCAGCAGTTGGTGTGGCATCCAAAGCACTAGATCATCAGCAGCAGATGACAGTGTTGGACCAGAGCAAGACACTGGCAGAATCTGCCTTACAGATGCTGTATGCTGCCAAAGAAGGGGGAGGAAACCCCAAGGTAGGAGCTGTTCTCTGTAACTAAGGGATTATTGGAGATGGGCAGTGGGAGAGGGCAGGGAGATGAGGGGAGAGGGCAGGTCAGGCAGAAAAAATAGCGCTTTGGTACTGCATGGCTCAGGGATACGTTTGCAGTGAAAAGGCCATTGATGGCTCCCCTGACATCTCCAAAGCACTGATGCTGCAGTTCTGTGTGAGGACACAAGGAACCCACCTGAGGAGAAAGTGTCAGCCAGGGCTCCCCATAAGGGTGGCCAATTGCACCTGAGGTCAGAAAGGGTCACACATCACGGGGTCTTTTGGGTGTGGGAGAATAAAGTATTACTCAATGCCAGCTTTTCTTAGTTGTTTTGATTGCATCAGGTCCTGTACGTATTTTTTTTCTAGAAAAGGTCCTGCTGCTTTTCTTAGTGACTCCTATTCAACCTTTTGTTTTTTCTGCTCCAAGGAAAATTTTTTCTGTTTTTATTTGTCTTAGAATTATTGTCTCATCTTTTACCTGAAAGGGGATTTTCAGAACTGTTATTGGGTTGTCTTCATTAATTATGCTTTTGATTTGCACGTTGATTTGTGCACAGAATGCTCTCTGATCTCATTTTCTCTCTTCCAGGCATCCCACACTCATGATGCCATCACTGAGGCTGCTCAGCTGATGAAAGAGGCTGTGGATGATATCATGGTTACTTTAAATGAAGCTGCAAGTGAAGTAGGCATGGTTGGAGGTATGGTAGACTCGATAGCAGAGGCAATGAGCAAGGTGAGCACAGAAATCCAGACCCCTTTTTTGCTTTACACCTGAAAGCTGATCCCCCTTGCACGGGGTTGAAAGAGCTGCTGATGATTAACTTTGGTAATGGTTGATGACTGACACACTGTGACAGGAAACCTAAAGATTCTTTGGCTTTGCAGATAATGAAATCAAGCTGATGCCCACAGTGGTGCTCACATTAAGTAACTCCATGGTACCTGTCAGTAGAATTAATACAGATTTTTATTTGGTGATATGCTGGTACTTAACTGTGATCCTAGGTTAATTGGCCTTTTATTTTTGCATACTTATCCTACTCATCTTTCAGCTTAGTCTCCGAAATGATCACTAGGCCAGTCTTGAAGCAAACTGTTTTCAGAGAATAATATGTCAAAGCCTGAATTGCTCTGCTATGTTTTGTAAAGCATTCTACTGGAAATGATAGTTGCAAAGCATTAATTAGTTCAATCAAAACTGTTGGCTTTTCTAGTGTCAAGTAAAAGGTGCACAGGATTGAAGTCTTTACCACATAAAGGAATCTCATGTTATCTTCTTTTAGGAACACTTTGTTCTGTAACTGCTGCACGTTCCTTTCTACATTAGCTGAGAACTACAGGTTGTTTGACCTTGCATCAGAAGTTGACCTCGCTGTCAGAAACTCTGTACTGTAAATTCTCTTCCGTGCTTGTAGAATGGGCTAAAGTGTTTTTTGAGCTCTGTACATCCTGGTGCACTGTCCTCACTTGCATGTTTTGTGAGATGAAATAATAAAAATTAACATATGCTACAATTTCAATATTACATGTAAAGTATGCTATTTGGTATGACTAATGATTTCTGCATTATTTTTCCCTCTTGCAGCTGGATGAAGGTACTCCTCCAGATCCCAAGGGAACATTTGTTGATTATCAGACCACTGTGGTGAAATATTCTAAAGCCATTGCTGTAACAGCACAGGAAATGGTAAGATATTTGGTTAGAACCAAGTACAGACTCTTTAGTTTATGTAAGGAATGTGAAATGATTTGTACAGTGTTGTGCAACTCTATATTGCTAGTTTTTAATAACCTTATCTCTTTAGGGGTAATGGAGCAAAGGAAGTGATAATTTAGTCCATTTAAGTCTTGGATCTCAGTGGCGTAATCATAGGAGTGGCCCTGTATGGGAGGAGTGCTGGATTATGTTGTGGATCTTCTGCACAAAAATCTTTTTATTTGGCTCATTTTCTATAAGAAGTAAAAGGAAAACATCTCACCTACATACTTTTTCAGCAGCCTGTTTAACTGTCACTGAAATACCACCTTATGTTTATTGATGACTTCATCCTACTCTTACAATGTTCATTTTTTCAGACCTCTTTAATACTTACATATTAATGTGGATCAACATCTCAAATGGTTCTCTTGCATTTCTGTGATCCACTTGGGTTTAACAAAAGAATAAGGACACTTGCTGTAATGAGATTTTCCTACCTTGTTTCACAATAATCCTTGCCACACCATATTTGTTTTTGAAGAGTACTTCTATTGCTGGTTTGGTTTTATGTAGACTGTGCTACAGACAAGATTTAAAAAAAATTTGATGGCTGTTGCAGTCAAGACAGGTCGATCATTCTGCTATCTAAGACACAGCAGCTTATCAGCAAACAGTATAAATTTGTCTAAAACTAATTGTGCCCTAAGGATGGAATTCCATGGCTTTTGCTAATGTGAATTGGAGACAGAAGGAATATCCTTGTTAAAAGGTAGGCTTTTTCTAAAAAGAGATTCAGTTTTTTATGCTGGCATTCTACTGAGTCATTCTGTGTAGTCCCACCTGTTTCTTCTGGGTCCTCTCCATGCATCTTAGACATGTTTTGCATTGATCCCCAGTTTTTTTCCAGTGTCATGCTCTCATGACCAGCTGAGACTGCTGTAGGCTGGCTGGCCTTGGCAAAAGAAGGTGGCTGTGACTCACAGCGCCCGCTTCCCCGCCCAACCCGAGTGACTGTCCCTGGCCCATTGCCCTGCTGTGTCAAAGAGTGAATTACCAGCTCTAACTGCTGCTCTTTGATTACTCCCCATGTTCTGCAAGTGCCTGGTTACTGTGACTCTAATAAAGCATGTTTGCCTGAGTTTCTTCATGGAGTTCTTGCTGGAGGACAGCGGTTTTCCCCATTTCATCAGTTGGCCAAACAAATGAGTGTGCTTCTAAGCTGGAGTGTATTAACAAATTATTCTCATGCCTGTCATTTTTCTTTTTCTCTTGCCTGTGTTCTTTTTTCAGATGACTAAGTCGGTTACTAACCCGGAAGAGTTGGGAGGACTTGCATCACAAATGACCAATGACTATGGGCATTTGGCTCTCCAGGGCCGAATGGCTGCAGCTACAGCAGAACCAGAGGAGGTCTGCCATTTTTAGGCCTCTTTATTCTCTGTACACGGTGGTGTCAACATGGGTGTTCTTGTACTGTAGGGAATACAATCAATAGCCAAGAGAAAGGGGTATTTACCTCACTCAGCTGCAGCAACATGTTTGCAGCCATTGCCAAACATACCGCTTGTATGATCAGAAAGATAACGGGTTTCAAACCATTGGGTAATGTGTTCTCTTTCCAATGTCTTTGTGATGACTCAAATGCAGTGAAGGCATTTTCACTGCCTTTGCTTTCTTATCCACTTCTGTACACCCACTCCCTATACTATCTGTGCTCTGTTTGATAGGCAAGCAAACACTACCTCAACCTCAACACTACCTCAACAACTACCTACAAACCTGCAAAAGATGCAATATTTTACTCAAGTGTAACTTTTTATGCTACAAACCTTGTTGTAAAAATTATCCAATCAGAGAACAGAAAGCTTTTGTCAAAACCTTAGTCCATCTTCACAAAGAAATAGCTTGCAATGATCGTGGACAATTCCATAGACTGGGTTAGATACTCCTAAGTTGTGGCTTTCACTTGCAGACAGCTTGCAAATACAAAGAAAGTTCTTAGTTATTTACTATACAGCTTTCCTTCCATCTCATATGTTTTGATGAATTACATAGGCTTTTTTATCTTGCTTGTAAGCCATATAACTTAGTGTCCTGAAATTGAGATACAGGCAACCAGCAGAAGCACAAGTATCTTGTTGATGGGACATCTCTCATACCTCAGAGTTCAAATGCCATGCAGGAGAAGGAGGTTCCCCGTGCAGCCTTACGCTCCTCCTGTTGACAGAGGAAGACAGGCTGTTGGCCTCATTTGAATTAATCTGTTACCCCAGTTTGTGCATATTGTCTGACCACAGTTAGAGAAATCCTTTCACCTCTCTCTTTTCATTGTGTGCCTCTGGTTATGGAGCATAGATGAACTTTGTCAAGATTAGGTGAGAAGGTATCTCACTGTCACCAGATGTATCTGATTATGCAGACAGAAGACTTTAAAAGAGTCCTTGACTTAGTAATTACATTCTACCACTGATAGACTACTTGAGTGTTTCGTGCTCAGTAGCTAAACGAAAAGCGACAACTTGCATTCAGCTTTATGTTGTTAAATTGAATTACCATTTCTGCATGTTACTTTCTGCCTGAAGTTGATATAATTTGATTGGTGATACTAATGGCTATGATTCCTGCTTACTTACTAATGACAGTACACATCTAAATGCCTAAATACATGCAGGTACTAAAACTATCACATTTCAAAATAGGAATGATACAGCTTATGCTGTAGTATTATTAATAAATCAGAAGTTGTGAGGGCAGGATCTTCCACATTTTGGTATTCTGCATGCATGTGGTCAGTTCTGGAGAGCTGAGACTTTGCCAGATTCAAAAACAGTAATTTAAGTTTTGACCCAGTTTCAGTGGTGAAGAGTAAATGTGGACTTTTTACCAATTGTGCATACCTTGAACACAGCTTATTGACAGTACTGGTCTGGGAGATGAAGTTGTGCTATTCAAATGTATGCAACATTTTTGGTTGAGTTGTGTGTGCTTGAACTATGTACACAACTTGGGGACACATGCTTTCTCTTTCCTGGGGTCCTGTTCACTAGTGCTCCTGTTTCATCAGTGAGCCTTTCATAGAGTTGTGCTACACAAGTAGAAGGTATTACAACTGTGCTCTATTTCTGATCTTTTCAGAGTATACCCATGGGCAGAATATTGGTAATAAATATCACCAGGGACTGTTCCCGTTTGTGTTGACATAATGTGCCAGCATGACATTTATTTAATCACTTTGCTCTTGCTTCCTTTATCCTTCTACCTCCTTTACCATCTAGATAGGGTTCCAGATCAGGACTCGGGTGCAGGAACTTGGCCATGGCTGTATCTTTCTTGTGCAAAAAGCTGGAGCTCTCCAGATTTGCCCTACAGACAGCTACACAAAAAGAGAGTTGATAGAATGTGCTCGTGCTGTCACAGAAAAGGTAAGACATTCCTCTGGTTTTTTCCAGCTTCCATCTGTAGCATAATACTGGCTGAATTACACTCAGTTCTTCATTTTTCAAGTGTTCAGTGCAGTTCAAATGCTAGATTAGGCCATGATTAGCCCTTCCTCATGTCTCATAATAAAACTGCTGCCTCATACCAGAGGGAGACTGGTCTAAAGCTAATCTCTAAGGCATGGGATGACACTTGTGCCTCATGAGGCACTCCCTTGGAAATATGAAGTCCATGTGGGTGGTCACAGTTACTGCGATGAGGTTGGTCAATGACATGTGATTTCATGTAGCCATGTCCTCCCCTTTTAAGACAGGGCCAAGCTAACACACTTAGAACTGCATCTTTAAACCATTTGGGCTTTCTTGATCTTTGGAAATGTCCACTTCAAATAGCCTGAGTAGCTCAGCTTTGCTGAAACTTTTTTGGTAGCCTCTCCTTTTGTTGGGCACAAACATAGAGAATCAAATGTCGGTTCATTTTAGATTTCACCAAGCATCACTTGTTCAGCCTGTGTTAGTGTGCTCTCAGCTGGACATATTTCCCACTGTGCCGTGGCCCGGGAGTATCCAAACTTAGGCATGGTAGTCAGTATCTTTTAAGAAGAGTTAAAGCTGATAAGGAGTCATAATCATAGGTACAACCTATTTGGGAACAACTTTGAATCTGAACAGACATCAGGAAGAGCTATACTGTTCAAAGTTGGTATCCATCTCCCCAGAGCCCCCATCTCCTTTCTTGCAAAAGCAGAATTTAGGGCCACAATATAGTATGAGAACAGCATCCCTGCTGCAGAGCATTCTAAGTACAGTGTTAATTAGATTAAATGGAGATCTCTAGCTTTTTTAGTTATCAATAATGTTGCTAGATATCAAGCCATATATTGTCTTTCTATGATTTTTCTATAAATATAACAGTATTTAGGGTCTGAATTCAAAGAGTCAATACTTCCTATTTCTATTCTGTTGAAGTTTGTATCAGTGTACTGGACATGACTCCTGGGGCACTTGAGGCCAATGTTTCTTTTCATGTCTTAGGGAAAGCAGAAGCTCTTGGTTCTGACATTTATCCTGGCAGAATTCACTGCCTTGCCTCTGACTCTGTTTCCAGGAAGTTTTAACTGATGTGCTTCATCCTGTGATGAAGGTCGCTTCGTTCTGTCTGAAAAGTGGACTTCCCAGCTGAAGTCCCCTTTAATTTGAGACAGCCTTTAGTCATCACAACGACTACTGCGCGAAGAGAGCAGATACGGCAAAGGGGAAGGAGAGATTTATTCAAGTTTGCAGAATGACTCCACAAAATGAATTGTTGATTCCAGTCATGTTCAAGAACTGTCTTAACTCAGTGTTCCGTAATGAGGCTTTCTTTTGCTGACCACCTTGTTGCTTTATGTTGTTTCCAGGTCTCCTTGGTGTTATCGGCCCTTCAAGCAGGAAACAAAGGCACACAAGCCTGTATTACTGCTGCTAGTGCTGTCTCTGGGATCATTGCAGACCTAGAC